TGATGAAACAAGTGCGTGGCACACTCTGGAATGAAGCTTTTCAAAACTCTGAAGAATTATTTTGTGAAGCTTGAGAATTGAGTTGACACGATTTCCAGCTGCTAGAGGTGTGGACTGACACGCAATTGGCAGCGAAAGATTTGACCTCGGCGATCTAGCATGGCTCACTCTTGGCGCAGTTGGCGCGGTACGCCCACCGATATCTAGAGAGAGTAGCGTTGAAGAGGGCATAACGATGGTAGTCGCATCAATGCGGAAATCAACGGGCAAGGAAGGGGTCCCATTTCTCGGTTCTGGGCCGTTTCTCATGGTTTTCCTTCTTTCTTGTACCACTCACCATCCCTACTTAATTTGAAATGGGTTGCTTTTTCATCGTAAATTCTGCCTTTATTTTCAAAGTTTTAGAGCGAGTGCTAACTCTAAACTCTACTCAGCGCTTAACTTTCTCATCACAACGTCGTTTCCTCAACATGCTGTAGATTGATCCAGCTCAGAGACAAGCGCTGACGAGGTCGTCACGACTTCCTGTGTGTTGAAATGCAGCTGAGTCTAATTGTCGAAGCGTCGAATCTCGTTGAGGATTGATGCCAGCCGGCAGGGATTCGATTCCAAAAGAGAAGCTGACGCCCTCAACTCTCGGCTCACAACCAACCACTCCTCTCCCCAGGGCCTGTGCCCCGGCAATAACATTCACGCTCAGCTCAACTTCTTCGAGTTCTCGCATCTGTCAGTGTGAGTTTTGGGCTAATCTTATTTTGTTTGATAGGTTCAAAATGGATCAAATTGCAAAATCCGAACAAGGCGTAAAGTGCTTAAGAGATTAATTATGCCCACTGATTCCTCTTAATTTAGCTCATATTTCATATCTATATTTATGATTGGCATAGTAGCGGCGTCGACAAATTACTGGTTGGTTCAAAGCGGTATTAATTTTGAACATGAGTCACAAACTATAAAGTACAACTGTAAGCTGAGTCATTAATTTTACTCCTAATTCTGTATTTATTATTTAATTTGTTTGTCTGGCTCCTTCCTTTCGTCCCATTGCATCCATCAGAAAAAGTTGTGAGTCGATGCATAAGCGCCAAACATGTGCGGAGCTCCCGATGGAACAGTAATGTAGGGTAAGTAAGTAATGGGATAAGGCTAAAGGATAAAGCATTTGCCGTTGATCAATCCCTTTTTGGGATGCGGCACGCATTCTACTTCCATTTGTACATTCGTAGTGGCGTTTGAATGCGATGGCCTATACAATGACTTGCGGGGGCCAGCAAGTCAGTGTTTTTATCCTCCCAGACAAGTCTGGTACCAATTAACCGACCCCGGAGGGATGGAAGGCTTGGTTGGCCCGGGCGACTCACGACCCAGGATTTGATCCCCGGACCGCTCGCGTGGTGGTAAGCGTGCCACTTGCCACTACACCACTTCCGCCCATTATTGGAGTGATCGACAATATCATTAAACAAATCAAAATGAGTTTCAACTTGTTTTGTTTGTTAACTGCTGTTTTAACGCAGCAGTTCGCGTTGCTGGAGTCTTTCACAAGAATTACTGCGGTTCGTGAGCAAACCTCTCTACCAGACGTTTTTAATGGGTTCGAGTCCCGTCTGGGGCGAAAGATTTGTTCACAACCCAGCATTCTTGTGAAAGAATCAAAATGTTCGAAAAAAAAAACAAAATATTTTGAAAACTTGCTACTTGCTTCATATCATTTGAAGGTGGAGTGATGTGGTGACAAATAGGCCACCCACCGTACGCACAATTTTGGAGCCAAATCTTGGGTCAAATCAACCAAGCCTTCTGCATATTCTTCCCGAGTCGTCTAAGTGACACCGGTCTTTATCTGAAAAAAAAAAAACACTGCCTGATACATTCGGCCATTCTCGCAATTTACTGCCTAGTGAAACACTATTTTGCCCAGGTACGTTCTGATTGCGAAGTGGAATACATGGCATCCTCATAAATCAAATACTAACGCTGGACACTCAATCCCTTTCTTCCTTGCGAAACCCTGTCATGTTCCCATGCGCCATTTTTTATCGCCGGCGTGCCGATTTTCTATCGCTGTAAAACCTCCGCGCTTTTTTTTTTAAAGATACGGTATTATCAGAAGCGAATTTGTCTGTTCGGCGGGATGGGTGAAATTCTCGATGGATGATGCGCTCCCGAAACAGACGTCATATAAAATCCTGTCGCGATCGTGGCTCCCCAGGGACGCCATTCGCCTCAGCACTGCTTGTCACTAGAGCGTCTTCTTGCGATTCTTTCGCTTGCGTTTCGATTTTCTCAGCTTCATTTCAGCCTCAAAAACACGGCCAACATTTTCTGATCATGTTGCTGATGCTAGTAACCCGCGGTGACAACCAGCATATTCCTCCAAAATGGCTTTCTCTTTTGTTAACTCAATCTCGATCAGTTAAATCGATGCATAGCCGATTCGATTTCAGGCTTGCAAACGAGGAATAACCTTTTATTCCAGGGTGGATCTGTAAATTGCCACCCAGACTATGGAAGTATACGTCAACTCTACTTTGAGAAGCCGCCAAGAATTTTTCTAAATTCTTTATATCGAGCGTATTTTATTTCTTTACCTTTATATTTTTTTACAGCGCAATTGGGTATGTGTTTAAAGGGAAACTAACTGGAAAGACAATTTTCCGAACACCTAACAGTGGACGTTTTACTATTCGAGTGGCGGCTCAACTACGAACTCGCTTATTGTAGTTCTTCTTTTTCGTTCATTTTCCGTACCGTTAGCCCCACGCCCATGCAGGGTCGCCTCTTCACCTATTCTTCAAAGCTCTTGCGGTCGCTTGCGTTGCGCTTCGAACTCCACTGCTTTTTATACTGGGTGGACCGTATATGTCTCTTAGCACGTGTCCATACCGTCGCACGCGTTGTTTTGGCACATTTAGTGGAGACAAGGGCGTTCTGCATGACGCTCTGACATCCTGCTCCATTGCATCCAGTCGCAAGCCCATCTCAGCATTCCTCAACTCAAGCGGAAAGAGCTGCCTTATTCGTAGACTTTCTGTTAAGGGTCGCTACTTCACTACCGCACAGAATGCAGGCCTTACCACATGTAAGGTACCCTTACCCTTTAAGCGCTCTAGGAGACACGTCGGCCGGTTAGGGTCCAGTGAATTCCCCCAGAAAACCATTGCACTGCGCGTCGGTGCCGTGCCAGCAGCCTCATAATAAAGTCGGAGCTAAAGCTCGCCAAGTATTCGGCTGTCCCCACTCTTCCGGTGCCTGATCATGTACAGGTACAGGCGTAAATCGTTGAAGCAATGAAGACTTCCGAGATACCATGAGAGCGATCTAACTGTTGGTGGCAGTGTGGACCAGGTATAAAGGCACACATCAACGCGGCACTGATGAAATTGAAGGTGTCCAAGGAAGAGCCGCTCTGTGCCCTCTCAAGAGCCCAGGATCTTAGCCCTGTTGACACAACTGGAGCCCACTCCTTGCCATCTCCTCCTGCAAAGTCTACACTTTGCTTCGAACTTCTTCTCCGTTACCCGCTATCGAAACAATCCCTCCATCGTAGAGGATGGCTTCAGTAGCCCCTCTAAGAGCCCTTCACCATAACATCCAAGGTTAGGCCCCATTATAATGTCCCACACTAAGGCGATCAGGTGTTCCGGTAGTACGTTCTCCAAAGCCTCCGGTAAATAGTCGAACGCCTTTCTCAGGTAAGCGAAGGCTACGTAGCAGGGGCGACACTTCCCGTTAATTCTTTGGAAATGGAGATGACACCCGTTGTGGACCTTCTGGGCAAGGGCCTGAACTGTTTCTCAGAAATCAAGGCCAGCTAATGCACCTTTCTTATCGATCAGTCTCACATAATTCCGTGGTTAGAGCAGAGCTGTCAACCTGATCTCACGGGCAGTATTTTCTGTTTGAAAGACGATGGGACTCGTTCTCCAGACACACGGCATCCTTATCTCTCAGTGGTGCTGTTGAGGCGCTGTCGAGAGCCATCTCATCCAGTATTCTCCAACCGGCTTTCATACCTCGGTACTACGGTACTCCATTTGGTTCAACAGCCTTCTCAATCTCGTCATACCTTGTTCACGGCGAGCCTCCATCTCTGTCCAGATTAAGAACGAGCCAGATGTTGCCTCTGCGGTTGTGTTGCCTGCTGCTAACTTCTCCAACGAGCGCGAATCGTGCGACGAGTTGTACCGCCCACCCCATTTGGGCACACGCACAACAAAACCAATGCTCCGTCGGCGTTGCAACTAAGTTGTGTCGATGCTGGGCTACCAACTTCGTCCAAAAAACACAATAAGACCAGCGGGACAATCGCTTTTGAGGAGATGGAGCGCTTCGAAGACTCCTGCCTCAGCAACCAGCCAGCCCCTTTCATTGTGAAAGCGCCCCACCATCTTCACTTCCTGGCAACCCAAGTAAAGTATTCGTTGTTGGTCGCCCATGCTGCATTTTCCCGGTGCGTTCTCCTCTTTTGATCGTAATCGTTCCTTTAATTGATTTTGTTCCAGCTTCTGGACTTGAGAAGTGATAGTGTGGCGAAACGACAGAGGCGCGAATTCATCAGCTTCACATTTATCTGCATAGTATAGGCAAAAGACAACTGTCGTCTTGATCTGCAATAACATTTCTTTTCAGTGTATGACGTAGCCAACAGTTGCTCTCATGGGTCGCCGCCATCGTCGTTCGAAGGTCACTCGCGTGGTGAACCTCGTCAAGAAGATCATCGCTTTCTTCTTCTCGCACATCGGTCTGTGTGCACTGGTGGGTGTAAAGTTTTTGTTCACTAAATCCCGTTAAATGCAGTATTATTAGTAGTTGAGATGTTCGGTGTTGAGTAGATAAGCCAACAAAGAGCAGAAGCCAGTTGCTGAAGCAGAAGTGCCCCCGGAGGCGCCTGTCGCACGATATTCATGCCCTCGTTCCGCCTGTCTACCGCGATCACACATTGGTTGCATGCGAAATACTGGGTGTCCCCCAAGAGGCCCATCGCAAAGGGAGAGACAAGATGCAGCAAAGGACGAGTCGCAGCGCGTGGTGTGCGCTATGGAGAACGTAGTGTATTGGTACACTCCGGACGCCTAACCGCCGCTACGCTACCGCTATGTGCTGCGACTCGTCCTTTGCCGCATCTGCGTCTCTTCCTTCGTCGAGCGGTGGGCATTTTAGGTGACACCCCGAAATATGACACTTGATATCCCTGGGCCTTCTTCGTGTAAAAAACCGAAGTAGTGAGTAATGACCGAAGCGCGTTGGTTTCGAGATTGAAGAAAACGCAAAGCATCCATTATACCGCGATAAGTGTGATTTTTTTGCCACAGCAAATGGGAGAAAAAAACTCTTATCGTGATCATCGCATGCCGTCATATAAGCTTTTTCTGTGCTTTCTCTTTCTAAATAAAAGTCGAATTTATGATAATAATAATGGTGCGATCATTTTTGACCATGGTACCAATTTATATTGTATGTATCTGTCTTATCAGAAAACGAGAGTGTCGGATTTGCAGGCAATCACAAGACAATGACGGCGGCCTTAAAAGGAATTCTGGTTATCGCCGCCCCGGTCATAATTATAGCTGATTTTTGGCGTGGGTAAATGATAGTTGTAATTAGGGACAACTGATAGAATGCGACTGTGACAGGCTAATCATTTTATTGGCGGAAAACATTTACTTGTTGTGCAGGTATAGTCACCTTGTGGTGTGTGCTCTGCGCCCGACGCTATTCTTCTTTTTTGAAATGAGGTAGATTCAAGATTCGAATAAGACGCAGCCACATATTTTAACTCTTCCGAAGAGATTGCTCGAGGGACGACGGATATGGGGAAGGGTTGGAGGCGTTCCAGCCCTCACCTTGATCTTGGCAATTGATGCGGCTAAGATTTTCTGAACTAGCCCGCCAAACATTGCCGCATTCCACACAATATTATCATTAAAATTGCTAAATACTATTAACTACTGATTATAGGTCATGGCAACGCCGCCTAAAATTTTCTATTTAAGGTGAGTCGTTATGCGTTGCTGGGAGCGGTGATATTCCAGGCTGTCGAAGGTCCACATGAAGAGCAGGTCAGTTCTAGGGCTTAATTCCTGGAAGCTGTTTGAAGATTGTTTCTACGTCGTACAACAAGGTCCTTTAGATTCAATCATCTGTGACGGCAGCTACGTTAGCAGAGCGGCTTGACGTGCGTTGTGGATATGCCACATTCAGAGCGTGAATCGCCATAACCAGATCAGTTGGAAGATCTTGCCCGTCTACAAAGAGGTTTGCAAACATAAACTCAATAGACCCACTACTGCAAGAAAAACCTGCGTTTTCTAGGTGTAAGAAATTCAAAAAGATATGTTGCATGCCGATACGTACAAGGATATTGATGGGAAGAGTTCAAGCAAGCCGCTCAATGGAACGTTCACTGGAGCATTCCTCTACTCTCTCACTGTAATTACCACCATAGGTTTGTGATTTTTTTTGATTTTTCCTCTCCATTTAGCAATCATTGTCCTACTTCCAAATAGATGGCTAAGTACAAATAAGCTTATGACCAGTGATAAAACCCGTTTTTATGCGCCACGGACCTGAATTTATGCAAATTAAACGCAAGGTCATGCGTGCTGCACAGGCTGGAGGATGTTCACGTTCGTGTCCCATTCTCGATCCAGCGAAAGCTAACGATTTGGTGGAAAGCCTTGATGGAACGTCATTGCCAGTTTCGATGAGATTATCCAAGAATTGTTAAGTCGCAATGGGGCTTTTCTTAGAGCACTGGCACCATCTTCCCGGCCACCAAAACTCTGTTCTCCTTGCTCTTTTTACTTTTGCACTGCGTTACCATTCCTGTTGCCGGGAAGAAGGCAGCTTTTGCAAGAAGGATTTCAACTCAAGCAGGGTCAACCTTCCGTTGCGCCAATTTCGGAGGGAGTCTTAGCTAGGGTTTGAAGGTTCACAGAAGAAGGGTTGTTTTTATACACATCATCCACCCTCTAGATGGACCTAACCATAAGTGCGACAATGGAAGAGCGGACCGTGGGAAGGGCCACTCCAGGGAGGGGGTATCTGATATGTCAAAAATTTTCCCGAAAAGTTGCCCCGATCTCAAGCGACTGGAAGATTTCTTCATAAAAACGAGCAAGGTTTCAAGCTAACCAAAAGTATGGCAGATGGGTAGCCAAGCGAAATGACTTTTCACGAAAAGTCACAACGAGACGATGAGCTTGAACAGTCATGTGGAAATGCTTTCGAAGATGATCCTTGCTTTTTTCAAGGTTACGGTAACACCGCAGCCAAGACGTACATCGGCAAGACGTTAACGATGCTGTATGCGATTATCGGCATCCCACTTATGCTGCTTTTCCTCACTAACATTGGAGACGTCATGGCTAAGATATTCAGGTAACAACTTGATTTTCTACTCCCATAATATGGAACAAGAGTTCTTGTCAATGTCCAACTTCTTTCTAAAGAGTCGTTCGAGTGCATGAGCCTGAAAGTGCGGATGGCACGAAAAATTGGTCGCCGATGGTAATGAGAGGTATAGGTGTTCGGATGTGCAACGGCGAGGGAAAAACCAAGCTAAAGGGCCTTCAATCTGCACAGTAGGACCCCCGTTTCCCTGTTGATCTCGGGTGTCCCCAAGAGGCCCATCGCGCGGCGAAGGAAGAGACGCAGATGCGGCAAAGGACGAGTTCGCAGCGCGTGCTGTGCGATATGAGACGTAGTATGGTACA